TAGTAATGCTCTCTGTACTCAGGTATGACTCAGTTCTTCTGAAATCGGTGCAGTCTGTCCAGGTCTGTTTAACGTTCATACATTTGATTGGGAAAACAGTGTCTGATACTTAGCTATGAAAGATATTTTCCTTCTTTCTACAGTTCTCTGAAATCCATTCTTAGAGGTAATGAGATTTCTGGGTCCGTCACCAATAAAATTCGGTCAATTTTGAATAGTTTCTCTAATCCGAAATGAATTATCCGACTGGTTAATTTCCCCAAAATCAGATTCCCTAGAACCTCATTAGTCATTTGTTTCAGAGTTCGTCATATTCTTTCACTGTAAGCGTAGCGGTTGGAAAGAATGCACTCAACCACATATCACAACGCTCAGCACTGCTTTACGTTTGACGTTGTCCGGTCTTCACGATTCAGCTTTTCACTTTCACTGCAGATCGATTTGGCTGCCAAATTACGGCGCTCGCCTGATCTATTCGTGTTTTGACATCTTGCCAGCAACAATAAGTCGTTGATACATACCTAAGTTTCACTCTTTTTCTCTACAGATTAGAGCGAGAAGCCTTTTTTGGATAGCTCTGAAATTTCAGTTTTTGGCCAAGCTGACTTTAACTTTCTCCTCAAAGTATGCATGAGCAAATTGACTGAAGCATCGTTAGAAGTCATTATTCGTCAGAACAAACGGGACAAAATCATTTACAAAAGCAGGTATTAGTTGCGTGCAAGCAGTGCGTGCAGGGCAGTTGCTCTGTTTCGATCATGCTATTTCTCCCGTAGCTGTATAAAATGTCTGATTCACAAGTCGCTGTAATTCAGCAACAAACCGATATCTCACACGGAAGACCGCATACCACTGAGGCACTGCAAAAAATTAAAGGAAGTACTGGTCGCTAGCTGGCTATCGTAATTTTAATTACACAAAAACGCGCATTCGATACCGTAAAGCTTAACAGTTGCAGCGGCCGTTGCAATCACCAAAGTTGAATAACAAGACTGGAAGACGGGCAATTGCCGGAAAAGTCAATGAAAAGGGGCATATCATGAAAATATTTCATGCGTGTGTTATGTAGTCGTTGTTGCTTCATAATAGACAGTTTTTCAATGCACATGTTCCTCTTCGTTACTGCGAAGAAAGATGCAGATCGCGTAGTGGTTAAAGTTCACGGAGAGCCTTGACAGCTCCATCATACAAGCGTTCAGTTTATGATTGTTTGTTTTTTGTATATTTCATTCTTAGTTTTGGAGTATCTTCTTATCTTCATCCTCGATGACCGCTTTCCTTTCGGATCGCTGAGACAGACGCATCACAGAGTGCTTCCCACTTCTGAAATACATAATATTTTATTCATTTAGATTTTTCTTTACGTCAAAAATATTTACATTTCTAAATTTACGTTCTTAACACAGCAAATGTAGCCTGATTAAACTTTATCAAAATTGGTTTGAATTTTGAAGTTGAGATGTTTGTGCATTTCCGTAACATCTTTATTGCATCACTCCGCATCACTTGATTTGCAAGTATGTTTACCTATTTGCATATGGTAGTATATAAATGAAGAAAATGTTGTGTTCCTTATGTGAGTAGTCAGACTGAAAGTAATTGAGGCATATATATTATCTTCAAAGAATTTTATGATAATTTTTGGTTGTAGTCTGTGACTGCGTTTTTGGCGACATAGTTTTGACTACGTTCTCTTGCTAGTATCTCGTAATCTAGATTTCGGCCGACCGTCGCTCAAAACACGTCGCTGAAATGCGTAGATTGTACTTAACGAAGGTACTTGTAGCCTGTCTTAAAGTAATTTTCTTTTTGTTGTTTTTTACATATGTTTAGTTTGTTCACAAATTTCACCAGTCATCATTAGAGAATAAACAATACAATATACAACTGCAATAATTAGCTATATGATCTGTTGTTTATTTCCTCAGCGTATAGCCAGGCTGTGGGATTAGTGTCGAATAAAGAATGGGTTCTTGTACATCCTGCTGCTGTTCGTGAAATCAGAAGATGAACTTACAGTGTTCTGTTCTTCAGTTGGGGTTGTTAGAGGTTGTTGATTGTTTGAATGGTTCATGGTTCGGGGGGGGGGGCGCAACAAATGCAGCAGTTGGCAAACCGTTTAATGCCAGCTCGTTTCACTGCACAGATCGCAGCATCATCAGGGCTGGGCTGAGTACAGTTTGCTGCTTGAAGGTATTTATGTCCAACAATGCCAATTTTTCAATAAAGCATGAATGTCTTTGACAAACGGTCATTTGTACTCAGTCCAGTCCTGATGATGCTGTGGCCTCCGCAGTGAAACGCGTTTGCATTAAACGGTTTACAACTGCTGCATTTGGTCCTCCGAACCATGAATCATTCAAGCAACCCTATATGGGCCCAGAATCAGAAATTATTTGTTGTTAGAGTGCTATTGTTGTTCTAGTCAGAACTGTTTTTAAATGAGGGATAAGACAGCTGTGAAAAATTGACAGAACCTCATTGGCGGATATTTCGGTATTCCTTGCAGTTATTCACTCTGCGCAACTGAAACATCTAAGATCAGTTACGATGGAATTTCTTATTAGTATTTGCTTTTATTGCTTAATGTTTATTCTCACGGCTACTCAGATGACAAATAATATTCTCAAAGTTCATTGACAGTGTGCTTAAGATTCTTCTGTGTTTTAGTATGTATGTGTATATGCATGATTTGGGTTTGAAGAGGTACAGAACTGCGTTCGTTTGGGATAGCTTTTCTCCAGGGTGAGGAACAAAAGTCAGTAGAAAAGTAAAAAAGAAATGCAACACATTTGAAAGATTCAAGATATTTATATACGGGAAATTGCCCTTTTGCTTGAAACTAAAGATCTTTGTACTGTGTGTCATCCCAGTGCTGAAGTATAGACGCGAAGCATCAACCCTAAACACGAATGCTATTCACAGACTATGAACTACACACTGAAGAATGGAAAAGTGTGTTGAGAATAAAAAAAAGAGAAGAAATAGGATGACAGACGAATAAATAAGTCTAGAATCTGAATTGTTAATGGGCAAGGCATGTTTCAGGAAGAACAGATCATCGCTGGAACAAAAAAATTTTAGAATGAGTTCCAAGTGATGAGACTACCGTTGGATCATGGACCTCTAGATCG